AACTTCCAACTCCTCTTCTATGCAACCTACAGCAGAGATGGCCAAGTGGAATTGTGTGATCAGGCAGGGGAAAAGGGTTGGAAAGCTCCCTCCCAAGCAGTCTCAGGGTCATCTCGAGACATCAGCACTCCAAGAGATACTGTGGCCCTTGTCACCATTGGACAAGAATTAGGATCATAAGCCATATGAAGTTATGTTTACCCCCAAATTTCATCCTTGGCTTTCCATCCAGCCTGCTGGCAATCCACAAACCATATCCAAATGAAAGTTTGGTTGTGAATTTTGTTGTATTAAAAGTATAGCAAACAAACAAGCTGGTTTCTGGACGTTTCCTTTGTGCTGGTCTCACACACAGATCTCTCTCTCCTGCAGTGGCCTATTTTTGCCAGCAGCTGATAAATCCTACAGTCCATTTTATAGGTGAGATTGCTTTTCTTCCCTGCTCAGGACCTTACTTCTGCCCAGGAATCTTCAGAGTGGAACTTGCAAAAGTCCTTGGACAGGGAGTGAGCATGAAAACATGGGAAAAAATTAATCTTAAATCCTTCACTAATTGACAGGTTGGAATAAGAATAACCATAGACCCCAAACTATGCCAGGCAACCAGTCTGCTCCAGGCACTGCAAGCTCACTCAGCCAGCCACATGCCTGGCTGTTTTGCTCTGCCAGCTTTACAAGGTCTAATTAGCTCTATTCCTTTTGTTTGTAATTACAAAAGCAAACAGCCCTTGGAGAGAGACAGAATAGAAAAGGCAGCTCCTTAACTGAGCTTAAGAAAATGTTTTAAATAAAGTTTGCCTCTCATCACACGTACTTGAAAATACAAAAGGGATGAACACAAGAGCCCTGGTGAATGGAAAAAGGTTCCCAGGCCAGGTAGAAGCAAGAGGGCTAGAACCTTGCTAGCCTGGGGAGGCATCAATGCAGGTCAGAAGAGACCATCCCCAGCTGGAACAATACTCTACCTGGCCTGCAAAAATGCACACCTGGCTGGTTGTGTTCAGTCACAGCTGGGAGAAGCACAGTGCCCTCCCAAAGAGGCTTGGGAGTGAGATGAATCCTCCCAGGGCCCATGTCTTCATGATCCTGTTAGGCCAGAAATGTCAAGGTATTGCACGTAAGTTTTTACAAGACCTTTAGATTAGCAGGTCTCCTCCTGCTCTGGAGGCAGGACATCTTGTACAGACAACCACAGCCTGCACATACCCTACCCCAGACAAAGCTACAAAAAGCAAAGCACTGCTCAAACACAGAGCATCTCTCCTGGGAGTGCCTTGGCTCCACACCCCATCCCTTCCCCATTCCTGCAGCTCCCACCCCCCTGCAAGGGAGCCATCTGCCTTCCCCCTGCCCCTTCCTGCTCCACCCAGGGTGCAGCCTGCCTTGCCAAGGAGCAGACCTTCTGGTTCCTGGGCTGCAATCGTAGCAGATTATTGGGTGAGCTTCTGCCAGAGGCCACAACTGCTTGACTCACTGCAGAAGATCTGTCCCCACCTATGTCTGTTGTAGATACACACAGCTAACTAAACAAGCTCCATACTGGCAGGCAGGCTCCCAAAAGCCCAAGCCCTGCTCTTCCCTTCCATGCACACTGTCCAAGTCCTGCTCCAAAACAAGAAATGAAGTAATAGAGTCTGCTTTTCCTTAAAAAAGTCCATTTATTGAAATTGTTTAAACACTTTATACAAGTTCCCAATACAAGCATTTGCTCCCTGGCTCAGGGTTAATGCAGATACAAAAACACAGACCTTCAGCAGCTCTTTAATGTCACCTGAGCTGCCACCTCCTAAGACAAGGTCTCCTGAGGCAGCTGCTGTGCACAGGCAATTCCCCATGGAGAAGTGGAAGCCACATGACCCAGCTCCAAGTACAGGCCAACATCCACTCAAGCCTGAAGCAAATGCTCTGGTTGATTTCTTTTAGTAACTTTATGTTGCAGAGAGTCAGGTCACACAGAGGTACAAGGCTCATACAAACAACCAATGCCATGGTTGTACATAGCTCAGTCTCAGAGGCTCTCCCTGTCTACAAAAGGAAATGAAGAAATCGATGCCTCTTAACACATATGCAATTTTAAAGCCTGGTCAGAAGCAACCAGTTTCCTTCTGTAGAAAAGTTAAGGTTGAGCTTTGGAGAACTGGTACCATCTTTCTAGGCATTATGAGACTTAACTCTGGATAGCCTGAGCCAGTGTTAAGTCAAACACCAAGCAACTGACTGGGTGTTTCAGAGAAAGGGTTGGGAACCTTTGATGAGCTGCATTTTTTTTTTTTTTTTTTAAGATATGACTTAATATACAAGGATGGCTCTCTCTTTAAAATGCTAGGTTTTTTTCCTCTTTGGTGAGCTTGTATTAAAAGAAAATGCCATAACCTTTGGGTCAGTTTCCTTGGAATTTGCCTTCATATCATCACTGAAAGTGTTTACAAGAAAAAAAGGTTTGAATGGCAGCATGTGAGGTATCCTTGGGGAAACATCAGGGAGCAGCAATGCATTCAGTTTGGTTTAACACATTTAGCTGCATAAGGCAAACTGAGATTGGTAACTAAGCCCAAATGAGAAAGAAGGAAAGAGGAAAGTGTTTGTTAAAAGGTGGCCTGTAATACACACAGGGTGATAAAAAGCTTCGAGCTCAGTTAGGTAGGAGGGTGGGAACATGGAGAAACAATCACTGGCAGCACTCGGTGTCTAAGGAACAGCAGCAACAGCCCCAGCAGAGACACTCAGTGAAAACAGAAGGCAATCGTTTTTCTTGAGTTCTTCCCCAGCACCAGGGAAACCTGCAGCTGCTTTGGGAGTCTGCTAACTTCTGTAGTCACAATTTCGCAGCCTTTGGCTCAGACACAATCAACCTACAAGATCTTGTCAAAAGAGTGACAACATATAGCTAAGCCAAGCCACCTTACACTGCATTTTCTGTTGGCCAACAGCATGTGCATGGACAGTTACAGATTTCAATTTAAGTCACAGCAATTGAATTGTGTCTGACCCTTTGCCATGCCAATCTGCACAGAAAGGAGGGTGCTGAAGATGATGCCAATAAGACAGTACAAGAGCATTTTAGATCTCTTCAATCATTCCTACATGTAAAGTCTTTCCCCTAAAAATATGTTTCCCCTTAAGCTATTGGTTTCATCACTTTGTATATAATATATGTTCCTTTAATTTCTACACACACCACACTGGGCTCTAACTTAATGGGATATGGGACTGAATTGTTACCATCTATTTTTTTTTAAAAAAAAAAACAAAAACAAAACAACTAAAAAAGCACCAACATCCATCTAAAAAAACAGTATCATTTTCCCTTTTACTCCCAAATACTAAACTTAACCCAAGCTTGGAGGTTTCATCTTTCCAGTGGCAATACCTATGAACCTAGGCTAGCCTTCCTCCATGGGCTGGGAGAGAAAGGAAAAGTTATGTCCAGTAGCAAAGAGGATTACAAAAATATACACATTTTTGGGAGAAGAGGAAGGCAGAACCTAGAGTCTGAACTCTGCTCAGGACAGTGGCATTGTAGTGTCCTCTCCAAAATGCTTTCACTACCAGTGCTGGTGGCTCCTCTTCTTTGTTTCATTATACATAATCCTTCCCTGTGGAGGGGGCATTTTTTGGATAGCCTCGGGTGGGTGGATATGAAGTTTCTCTCCGTGGACAGGAGCAGCAGAGGAAGGCTCCTCCTAGAATGGCCAGAGAAGCAGCTGCCCAGCCAATGAAGAGAGCTGATCCAAACTCAAATCTGGGGGAGAAACAAGGAAGAAAGTGAATACTACAAGTAACGCCTCTGGATTACAGCATTAGCATGTCCACACAAAGCAGAAGGGAGCTGAAACAAGGACTGAAGTGTCTTCCTTGCAAGGCAGCAGTTTGGAACAGCCCAAGAATCTGCTGACCCTCAAAGCTCAGAGCTTTGCACACTGGGTTAGTCCTGAGACTCTTGTTGACCCTCAAAGCTCAAGAGTTTCACACACTTGGTTAGTCCAGTCTTTCAGCTCACCCTGCACAGCTGCAGCAGGGCCAAGCTCTGTGCAAACCAGGCTTTAATGATGCTTTTACTGATGCTGCCTTAAAACAAAGGCAAGACTGAAGAGCCATGTGGATTATGAGATCTGGTCCTAATACTCTTTCTGCAGAGTTTAAAGCCAGCCCAGCTAGCTCGGGAAATTCCCTCCTTTGTTTTGAGCCACAGCTACTCAAAACTAAGCCCTGTGAGTACGTGTCATGCTATGCTACAGTGTTTTATCAAACGGGTCAGTACCTGGTGTTGATGGGGGTGAAAGGGTCATAAAAGGCCCGTGCCACTCTGTTGCCATACCATGATGTGGCCACCAGCGCTGCCAAACCTGCAGATGAGGGAAACACAATGGCATGCCTTATTAAGAAGAAACCCAAAATACAAGAAAAATATCACTGCAAAAACTGATGTAGCAGAACCAGCAACTGGAGTGATGCTGAGCTGCTGCTACCCTGGGAAGATCTGAGCCGTTACTTAGTGCCAGTTGGAAAAATTAAAGGATTTGAGGTCACCCACAGTTATGTTGCATCAAAAGCAGGACTGCTGACAGCCTTTCACTGAAGCAGGGCGTACAGGTCAAACTCAGCTCTGCTAATAGAGACAGAAGGCATACAGTCCATACAGAATGTGTAATGCTAGTGCCAAGAGACCTATTTGATGTCTTGGATAGCAAGCAGCTACTGTGCCAAAGCCCTCTAAGGAATTCCCAGTCCCAAATGCTCTTGGAGCAATGACAGCAAACCCTCCCCATCCTCTCACACCCCAGACAGGATAGATGCCATTTAGGAAATGGTGCATTTAACACTAAACACATCTGTATGTTACCAACCTGCAGTGATGAAGATCACTCCACCGAAGACAGCCATCCGCATCTTCTTCACCTGGTCGTCTTCCATGCACTTCATACATTTCATGCCAGTCACAGCAACAAATATGGCAACAAGGCCCAGGAGTATAGCAGCCACCATCAAAGCCCGAGTGGCCTGCAGACTACCTAGAAGACATTAGGATTTGAGTTACCACAAAGATAACTCAAGATACAAATAGAAATTTAAATTACTGTGCTCAGTAATCATGTGTCAAAATACTCTGCTCCACATTACACAGGATACAAACAAGCAAGACATTCCTTTTTAGCGTTAAGCTCAGTCTGTCATGCAGCAGGATCAGAGGACACTCTAAAATGCATGGCAAACAAGGGCATGCAGCTCTTTGCAGGAAATGACCTGGGAACTGCCCTCAGACATCTTTTGTTCCTTGATCATTTGAATCCCAATTGGAAGGGCATATCTGTTTATCAAAAGAAGTATTCAGATTTAAGCTCTACCTTGACAATGCATTTAGGCACATGTTTTAATATGAATAGCACCATACATATGAATAGTCCCACAGCAGACAGCAAGGCCCCTTATTGCTCAACACCTCCAAAACCTCTTATAGAAATACCTCAGTGCTGATTTAGGTATTTTTGCATTAAAAACTCAGTTTGATTCCCAGAGGGTATAAAAATACAATCGCAACAGAAACAGGATTTTCCCAGCCAAGTGAAAAATAGGGGGTTTTTTTCTGCCTTAAATATTTAGCTTATTAGACTCAAAGGTATTAAAATGTTTAAGAGCCACTTGTACTTTTGAAGAGCTGGAGCACGGGGTGATGCCTCCCCACATGCAAGGGTTATATATGCCTGGGTTCTCAGCAGACAAGACTCAATGTACTTTATCCAAGATTTGGCTTTATATTAACTCATCCGAAGGCACAGACACACTAACCCTATGGATGTGAGCTGCTGAATTCAGATTTTTTTGATACCAAAGGAGAAATAAAATAATGACAGAAATCAAGTCATTATTTATAAAAAACCTCAGGTGATAAAAACACCTGAATAGCAGTGAAATAAGAGCCTGAGCTTTATTGCCTGGCAAATCGGGTTTGTTTGAACAGCATGGATTTTCATATACAGTCCTGTTAAGATCTGGGAACAAACAAGGCTGGTTAATCAAAGTAAAAAAGCTCCCAGGAGCATTCTGTAACCAAGGCAAAAGTGTCCCCTGACACAGAAGGTTATCTAGCAGTGACAGAAGTCGAGTTTTGGGAATAGATTCTAGTGATACTTTGTGAAATCTGGAGCTCAGCCCTCAGAAAAAGCACACTGACTGCATTCTGCTAAAGCTCCACAAAGCACTTCAAGCCTGGACAACTGTATTAAGCCTCCAACAGAGCACCTGCAAACTCAGTCAGCACTGGTACAGTGAACCCATCCAAGCCTGAGCTACACATGCTCTTTGGCTCAACCTGAAACACAGAGAAGTTCAAATCTGACACTGGCCAGGAGGGCACACACCCATCCTCTGCAGCTGCTCTACTACACTTTGCCCCATGACACTGCTCAGTGCAGGAAAATTCCTTGTGACCTACACCAACAACAGGCTACCAGGCTCTAGTTCTGCTTTAAAACAGATCTGGATGAGTCTCTATATACACAGCCTTATTGTTCTGTAAATAGATTATGAAACAAGTTAAAAACAATACAATAAAGAGGCAATATTCGGAGCAATAGGAAGTGACACATTTTCATAAGAAAAGAGTCTTCCTTGGGAAAAATCCCACAATCAGCTTCAGCTAAACTTCATCTCTCACTTTCTTCAATGGGGAAGGGTGACATCTCCACGCCACCCAGGTGTTAATCAGAACCCATCTGTCACATCGATTGCAGAAACCCATTTACAGTCATTTAGTACTTGAGCATAAATCACAACAGCAGTAGCCAAACACATTTTTAAGAGATTTATCTCCAATGTCAGAGATTACACTCTAAGAATATCTGGTTTACAGAAGTTAACACCAATTTTCAGAAAGACCTTCAGCTGCCATACATTTAAGGTTAAATTGTGCATTACAGCAGCAGATCTGGAGAGACCAATGACTGAAAACACTAGTTCATACTTTGTATGGGAAAGGACATTTTCTGCAGAGGTACCACATCAGTTTCAAGTCCACAGTAAGATGGGCTTAGTCTTGCTGCACAAGTTACTGTATAGGAGGGAGTTTTGGAAGATCTTTCATGAAGCTGAAAATATGAAATATTATCTCAAACAACTAGAAAACTAGTTATAAGGGTGGGAAGAGACCTCTCACCTTCAAACACAGAACTAAGGGACAAACAAAAACGCTTGAAAGTTTCAATGACCTCAGAAGACCTAGCTATGAAACCTGCTAAAAATATCAAGATGTACAAGTATTAACTGGATGCATGCCATGACAGCTTTGCAGGAGCAGCTGAACAAAAAGCAGCATTGTGAGGACTTCCCCATTCTGCCTGCTTTCAGCAGCAGACCCTGAAAGGACATCTAGTGTCTTTACCCCTCCCTTATCCATGGCATAAGAGGATAGAGGCATTTCAGAAACTCGCAGTAGGACAGAAACAGGTGAGAATATTTGCAGAACAGACTGTGCCTTTATCCCAAGAAGTTTTAATGTGACATGACTATGAGCCAACCATCCTCCCCTCCACCCAAACTGGCTGCCCTGCGCTCACAGCACACGCTGGGAGATGGTGCTTTTGTCTTCCTACCACTTTCGCAATGTGTGCAATACATTGACTGTGGTTAATCATCATACAAGCTAGTAGTTATTATGTACACATTAACAACCGCGTTGTCAACAGAAGCTGTGCGTCCAGAGGCTGAGAAAGCTAGTTTAATAGTAGTTCTGTTGTTCACATGGGCCTTTCCATGTGCTTTAGAAATCCCAAATGTATAATATTGTCTTAACCTGCTAAACAGGACTGGCTACCAACAACAAGCAGAAGTACTCTACAGCAATTTAACTTTGCCAGTTCTATGATACTAGAAAAAGGATTTCCACCCCCATTCCTTGCTGCTGCAACAGTCTCACCAACAGGAACAGGTCAGTGCAATGCTTGTAGCCTCCCACACCATAACCAAGGCTGTTGGAAAGGCTAGGCAGTCTCAGGAGCCCTTGGGGAAAAACAGTCCTGCACAAGGCAAGACAAACTGGCCTGGCACCCAGCAACAGCTGTCAGATGGCAGCAGTATTTTGTCAATATAAACCACTATTTACTCGGAAGCCAAGCCTTTTCATTGCTGGTTAGTCACTGGAGACCTCGCCTGAGAAGCCTACAGCAAGAAAGCAGCAAGTACTGAAGGATGGAGGCTTAAAACTACTGAGAAGGGTTAATAAGAAACGCAAATTCTGCAAGCCATAAAATACTGTGTAAGTCCACAAAATTACACAGCAGCTCACACCTGTTTCACATAGTGAAACCCACTTTTTAAAAGCATGCTAACAAATAGCTCTAACTTACTGTTAGTAGGTTTAGACACAGACTACACGATGTAATTTATCTGAAGCCTGTGCAAGACTTTTTTCCTTTCCCACAGAGCTGTCATTACCTGACACGGAAGTAAATGGTGGCAACTGTTTTTTTATTAAATAAAAAGACTTCATCAGCATATGTTTGAGGTTATTTTTCCGTCATCACATTTCCTTATTTATTCTGTTTATATCATCTACATTATAGAAAAGCTATTGGGAAAGTGCCATGGGATTTTTGTAATGCCTGTTTGCAATACCAAATTGCTGTAATGGCTCTGTGTGCAGATTATTTTCTGATAGGGATGCTCATTGACTGCCTTGTTTGTATTTGAACTATGGACTTTTTCTTCCCTTCCCATGGGCCTCCACACAACCAAGATATGACAATACAGGTAAAACAGATGCTGTGCAGGTCCCTCTAATTCTCCTTCACTTCTAAGTGAAGTTCTCCAGGAGTTACAAGCACCCCTGTAGTGTAGGAAGCATGTTACACCATCCACCTCCAAGAGAAGTCATCAGCCTTCAAAGCCTTCCCCACTGGGGTTTCATGAAGGCAGAATCTCCTTGAAGGAGCAGGATCTGAGATCCTGACAGCATGTGAAAGTTACTTTTGTGCATTAGGCAAGGGAATGAAGATCTGAGCAAGAAATAACAGCTTTGACAATAGCCAGCAAACATCTCTCACACTTTGCAGTCATTCTGGCTGGACTCAAAAGCCTGCTAATGACTTGGAGACTTTCAACCCCCTTACCAGCCCCTGCACACCCATCACCATCAGATATTCCAGTCTGTACTCCTTCAAAGTGAATTCCCACAAGTCTAGAAGACAGTACAGAGCACTCTGGACAGCATACAGACTCAGACAAGGTCATGTTTCTTGCCAAAATGGGAAGGCCAGTAAGTTGAGGCCAGTTCCATAGGCAACAGTGGCCTTGTACTCTGCCTACCCCAAAGCAAATAAGGTTCAATGCCCTCCTGCAGTCACTCACACAGCAGAGAACACTTGCTGGTAAGACAGGCAACACAGTACCACCATTTCCACACTCGTGGTCAGAGGAGATCTAGGCAGCCTGTTTTCCCACAAAGCCTGGAAATTCCCTTACCAAGAGATTTAGTAACACATAGTAACACCAGCTACTAAATAAAGCTGCTTAGAAGCTGCCTGTAGAGCAATAAAGCCAGTGTGTTGCAACAGACTCCCATCCCCTCTTGCAGACACAACAGGGCACCACACAGGAACAGCCCCGGTGGCATTCCAAGTAACCCTCTATCTTCTCAAAGCACAGCACAAGTGAGACTGTTTTATCACTCGATCATGATTTTTCATGAGGAAGGAACAGGGATTGAGAAACATAGGAGCAAATCAACCCTTAACCCACGTGAAAGCACAAGATACCAGCAGGTTCTACCTGCTTACTCCAGATGTAAAGATGGAGAGATGTGACAAACTATTTGGACACATTTGTCCCTCCTGCTATAGCTCTGTCACTCCCTAGGCCACTCTCCCAACTCCCCCAGCACCACGACAGACCAGCAGTAACCTGAGCATGAACCGTTCCTTCCCCCCCACCCATCCTCTTCCCCAGCTTCTGGAACAGGCTCAGCGAGGGTGGTAAAGATGCAAGAGGGAAGATTGCACATTTCAGTGATGCAGTTTGACCCAGAGGGCATCCAAACCCTTGTTTATTTTCTGGGCTTGGGCACAAAGGCTCATTGTGGATGTATTAGGTTTGGTGATGAAGTGGTAGATGAGTCTCAGCTTGTCTCAAGCACAGAACCTCTCCCAGCAAAACCAAACAGGGCAATGAATATCTTAAACGAAAAACAGCTAGACAGGACCCAGAACAAACTCTGCTCTGAATAGGAGAGTGTGGTTAGGTGGGGCCGAAAGCTTCCAGAGACAGGTACCAGGAGCCCTTCTCCCTCCTGCCTGAGACCATCCCCCTGAGACCCCGGAGGAGGACAAAGCTGAGCTAAGCTCCATGGACGATGCTGGAGGGCTACAAGAACAATGCTGAGGTTGTGCAACAAAGCCTTGTTGCAAGGGTGGCTTTTGTTGCCTCTATGTCTGCATGTGGCCACGCACCCGCTTTTCACGTAAGCCAGCAAAACGCAGCCTTTCTATTGCCTGAATAGGAGCACTGACATAAGCCCTCAGCTGAACGCAGCTGCGGGAGAAGTGCCAGCATGGGTGTACTCCAGCAGTGTGGCCACACGGGAAGCTGGAGGTCCCTCCGTTGGCTAACGGTGCTCATCAGCTTGTGCCAACCCCGTCTCTGACATGCAGCATCAGTCCAAGCAGCCAAATACTGGCACATCTAGAGGAATTGCAATAGTGACCAGATACCCAGAAGCTTGCAGGTAAAGCTTTCCAGCATTGCCACAACCATGAATTACCGTAGGTGTGAGAAGACTCAGTCTTTTCTACGAGACAAAGTAATTGCAGATCTGAGCCTCTCCCATGACTGCATGAGGTTCTGACGCATGGCTGAGAGCATTTGGGGCATGTGAAGCTCTGGCAGGAAAGCGTGGCCAGAAGTTTTTCTGTCCGCATTGCTGTGCCACCTTTACCATGACACAAATTAATGCCATAAGGAAGCTCTTACTGCACAGGAGCACCTGTCCCAGGGTGCGGCTGTCGAACTGGGTATAAAATAAGGTTTTTCACACCTCCACCCAAAACAGCACTGCTGGTTCCTGCCCAAGAGACTGTAAGACCTTGAAGGGAGACCAGGTGGGGAAGAAAAGCAGAGAAGGTGTATGCCTGTAGGCATGATCTGCTTTCAAGTGGGAGGGACACAAGCTGGGAAAGCCGTGGTACAAAAGAACAAGGAGTCCTTTAGCCAGCCCTTGCTGACTTTCTCAAGGAAAAAGACATCTCTTGCTATTTCCATATTTCTTGAGCTTCCTGGGAGTTTTCAGGCAAGTGTACCCTGCAGGACCAGGGGGATCTCCAAGAGGACAAAAGGCCACTAATAGCTCAGCCTCAGCCCCTGGCACCTCACACCTCCCTCCCCCGTAGCCCTGGAAGAGAAGAGCCCTTATTGTTTGCAGGACAAAGGTGAGGGGAGCAGCTGGTTTTCAGCACTCAGCCATGAATGGGGCAGGTCTGGAGGTCCTGGGGCAGGTTTTCAGGAGTCTGTTCAAGCCAGGCTCCACATCTGATTCTGCCTGCTGGTCTCGTTTACAGCACAATGGGCTGCAGGCACACAGCCCCCGAGGCAAGTTTTACCTTTCGCAACCCATCCAGGGGGCGGCTGGAGATTCCTCAGCCCTGCTGGCATCTTCACCCCCACCCCCAGTGCGAGATAAGAAACTTGAAGCTGAGCTTCTAGATAATTACTACCGAAACCAGCCCGGACTGTGTGCTGAGCCCAGCCCTGATTACCCACAGCCCTGCACCCAGTTAGCGCAAAGTGGGTGCTCCCACTCCTGAAGGGAGCAATTTGCCCCTCTGCCAGCTGCAGAGCCCACGGGTGTTCGGGGCAAGGGAGCAGGACTGATGTGGACTAGCAATGAAGGTGGGGCCCGAGGTGTCCAGCTTCACTGTGTGACACACGGGAAGGGCTGGTGGCAGTCTAACTTGGGGATAACTCCCCATGGTACCCGGTTTATGTGAAACTGCCTGTCCATTCCTTTGGGAAACAGAAGGTGACCAAGTTGTTAATTATTATTTTATTAATTAGGGAGTGAGAAGGATGACGGTGTTCCAGGACACTACTGGACTCGGGATTGAGGGGAGGAACACTGAGAAAGAATCTTTATGATTTTTTTTTCATCCCTTTGGGTATCAGCATAAGTTATATGATCCAGCGCTCTAGAAACAGCCCTCACTGGAGCTTCAACCCGGCGTGACCGCCGCGAGTGACACCCCAACAAGCCAGGCTGCAGTTCCTCCATGCATGAGATGGCTTCACCCTCCCAGAACAAGATAAGAGACCTAGAGATTACCTCTGCCTAAAAACTACAGGTAGTGCTACCTGGGCTTGCGTCCAGCTCACCTGCTAGCTCTTTGCTTAAAAGCCCCACGGGAGTAGCAGTGACTTTCCCAGAAAACAAAAGACCAAAACAGTCAAACGCAAAAATAGAAGAGTATCCGTGCTCAAAAAGACCACTTCAGCACCGCCGGTGAAC